AGCACCTTGATTAAAAACTTGAAAAGATTTCGAAAATATCTGTTGACAAGGAGTTGGCGGTGCACATTCTGTGCAAATCCTGCAATCGACCGAAATCTGCATTACAGTTTAAGAACCGGATTTCGATTTCGGTGCGCGATTTTGATTGGACTATGCAGAGACTCGTTAGTCCAGCAACAATTTAACTCCATAATACCAGCCTAGTTCGGCAAGGGTGGAAACTGGACTTTTATAGTCAGTTAACTCCCTTGCCTCGGGAAGATGGGTCTTAAGCTTTACCTCATGTTAACAAACAGAATATTAGTGGTCTTGAAAATGACACATATCACATTCAATGGTAAAAAAAACTGATTGATCAAATAAAAATTATATCATAGAGCTTGATTTCAAGCAATCTGTCTGTCAATGGTATTCACATTTTGACCACGTCATGATATAATAAACATGTCCTGATCATATATCTCCGACAATGTGGAGATCCCTCAAAATTTAAAATTTCTAAATTGTCTAAAAAAAGGAGGCATACAACCACAAAAACCTATATGTAGGAGATCATATGCCTTCTCTAAATCCAAAAAGAGGGATAAAACATGTGTTTTTATAAATGACTCTTATACACATGACTCAAATAAGTTAACGAGATGATCAATGGTGCTCCTCGGATGCCAGTATCCGGACTGGGTATCAGTTATTAGGTTAATCGATTTAGATACAAGAGAAGGCGCCTATTGATCATACGTTCCGTTGTTTTACAGATGCACTTATTGAAGGAACTTGGCGATAATAAGAAGGATTCGTGTGATCCTACCCTGGTTTGGGTACGGAAATGATGATGTCCCCCGCCGTGATATTGCTGGAATATTGCTAAAAGCGGCGTAAAACCATATTCACTCGCCATTTTGGATGTTAATATATCAGTTTTTAGATCTTGAATGCTGTTTGTGGACCTTTTACCGTCTTCTAACCATATTACATAATTTATTGAGTGGAGTGCTGTAGTCAATTTGGACACAAAATGTCTACACCTGCGATGTTTATTTTGCTTAATCGTTCTACGAGTCTTTGCTCTTGGTTTCCTTAAGTGTTGTATGTTTTCTTGGATTGGATGTTTATTGAAAACCCATTCAGCCTTTTTCCTGAATTTTTTCTAGCCTTTTATCAATCGTTATAATACCATGGTGTACGTGAAGTTGTCGAGGTCTAGAGATTGTTTCAGTTGCAATGTTTACAAAGATATTACAACACAATTTCATTTGGCCAGGATCATTCAATTTCAATTCATCATTGCACAAAGCACTAAAAGTCAGCACTGGAAATTGTCATTTGGAAATATAGAACTATGCACAAAGGTAAGGATAGCTTTAAGCACGGTAGGAAAGGGTTCCCTGCCGCACAAATCACTATGAACTGACCACGAAAATTCAATAAAGAGTGATGGTTCAGAAACTGACAGATCCAACGCAGAGTATGTGCCGGTTGTTGGAGAGAGATAGGTGTCACTTCCATCATTAAGAAGGCTTATCTAGGACTTTGCTTATCAAGCAATTCTTCTGGTACCTTTCCCTTATCCTTATGATCAGATGAGTGAAGGGATTGGGACCATTTGAGTCTCCCATAATAAAAACAATGGTTTGGTTTATCCAGTTCTCTAATTGGAAGAGCAGGTGATTGTGGTATATACAAGTAACAGAGAGTTAGACGCACTGCACAGCTTGTAAGCTATTATTTAGTGCAATGGGGCTATATAGTGTTCCCTGTTTAAGAGGAATACATGTACGTGTGCAACCAAATGTCTTACCGGTGTGACATTAAGACAATAACACACATGTAACAGCCATACGATATGAATGACACCAAAACTCTGAAAAAGAGGAAACGAAAAGGTGATTTAAGATGTATTTTTTATATATTATATAAATAATCAACAGATGGTAAAATTGGCACAAATCATTGTCATTGACCCAGGTTCCTTAAGGCACACATGGAACTGTAGATTTTCAAGGTGAAGGTCGTCTGTTCTCAATCTTGTATGGCCACCATCAGAGTCCAAACCTGACTGACATCGTCGTCCCATGGAAGCAGTCATATTCCGAATGGTTGCCTGGGGAATGTTAATCTACTCTACCTGCACCAACTGCCGGTGGTTCTGCGGTTGTGGCATCTCAAAAATGTTCGACTGGGTTTAAACCTGGAGACCTGGAGGTCCATGGCAGGACCTGGATGTTTTGACTCCTGTTGTGATTTTAATTTTGTATTGATGTCTGCAACTATCTGTCAGATATTTACAATTTTACTGCTTTGGCGTTTCTTTTTGACAGAGAAAACTTCAAAGCTTCCTAGTTACGAAAGGAGGTAATTTATGATAAAATACCTTTTGATGAAAAATAGTTGGTTTTAGTACAAAATAGGCTTGTTTCCTATCAGCATAGCATGTGATATATACCCCTTAACCCCGTAACACAGCTATTTGTCATCAAGTGCCACGCTCACAGTTTCCATTTGAAATTACCAGTTCACATAATAAAATATAAGGCGCGATTGTTACAGCATCTTCCCGAGGCAAGAGAGTTAACTTACTTTAAAAGTCCTCTTACCATCCTTGCCGAAATAGGCTGGAATTTCTGGGCTCGATCGTAGCGCCACCAGTGGTTATTATGAGTTATGTCCCTTCTAAGCCTCTCCTATGGACCAATCCGATTCCATCACTTGCACTTGTTTTCAAACAAAATGGCGGCGCCCAATCAAGACGATCTGATCGTTAATCAACATCTACATTGTGATAAAACGGGTCTTACATCCATAAGTGCATCAAATCACGCGAGCACCTTGATTAAAAACATGAAAAGGTTTGGAAAATATCTGTTGACAACGAGTTGGCGGTGCACATGCTTTACAAATCCTGCAATCGGCCGTAATCGGCACGACAGTTTAAGAACCGGATTTCGATTTCGTTGCGAGATTTTGATTGGACTATGAATAGACTCGTTAGTCCAGCCAAAATGTAATTCCATAATACCAGCCTAGTTCGGCAAGGGTTGAAACTGGACTTTTATAGTCAGTTTACTCGCTTGCCTCGAGAAGATGTTGTTACATTTGCTTATGTCCCTTGTGTGGACAGTAATGACGGGAAGGAAGAATTACCCATGCACAGTAGTAAAATTGTGTTTTCGTTTTTCATTACACTGCAATGCACACATAGATTTTCTGTGTGCTGATAAGTAAGCGATCTGGCTCTTACCAATTTACCTAAAGCGATTGATGAGTACTCTCTGGTTGCTTCGGTTAATTTCCAAAACTCGAAATTTGGAGAAAATTTTTGAAATATAAAAAAAAATGAATATTCCATGCGCTTTCGCACAAATCTATTGTCTTATATATGATATTATAGTCTATAATTCCTTCTAAAAAGTGCCATCCCATGCAGGGTTAGTCTATAGCTGTTCTAGAAGATTCCAGATTACACTTGACTCGCATAGCATAAATATATAGTAACTTCCACAACACTGCTTAAGTTTGATAGCAATACCTTCCTGTGCCCTTTTATTGTCAAAACACAATGTTACGAACTTCCACTGAATCTAAACAGAAACAATAAAATATAATTACAACAGTGTTTAACAATACATTGGGGCGGTTGGGTAGCCTTGTGGGCAAAGCGTTCGCTCGTCACGCCGAAGACCCGGGTTAGATTCCCACATGAGTACAATGTGTGATACCCATTTCTGGTGTCCCCCGTCGTATTATTGCTGGAATATTGCTAAAAGCAGCGTAAAATCATACTCACTAACTCACTCACTTAGCAAAACATTACACTATCATGTAAAAAAAAACAAAGTGAAAACGTATATAAGAAGCTACCTAATTTGTTTAATGACTCGCTCGATGAAAGCTGATGTATAAGTTTCTGAAGCATGGCTGGCCGTCGTTAAAGCTCCAAACCACATGACTATGCCGAGACGGGACTTTTCAAGGAATGAGGTGAGATGAAATGGGGTTTAACGTCGCGTCCAAGATTATTGCACTTATATAGCGACGTGCATGTATGTGTGTGTGTTTGTGTGGTTGCTTGTACTAGTCCGGACTGATGCCGATTTATAGTGCTAGCTCACTGAGATACCATGCCGCAGTTTAACATGAATACCCCACTCAGACACAGTATACTGACTCCGAGCCGACCAGTCCTTGTTTTAGCCCCTTAATGCCGAGCGCCAGACAGGGTAACAAAAAGTACCATCTTTTAACGTCTTTCGGTATGACGCGGTCGGGGATCGAACCCCGGACCTTCCGCTCTCCGGGCGGACGCTCTTCCACTAGACCACTGAGGCGGTCTTTTCAAGGAATGGAAACGTAAAACCCTCACCAATCAATTCTGTACATGAAGACTAATGGACATCATTGTTGTCACCAGAACACGGGAAAATGTTTAAAGTCACCAATCAATTCCGTATTTCAAGGATTATGGACTTAACATTGTTGTTCCCGAACACTCCTAAACGTTTGAGTTAAGTCTCCTTCCTGCTTCCATAAACGAGTTTACCTTCATTCTTGTCCAAACAATGGGTATGTGCGGTGTACATAAGGCAGGTACAATACATTGCCATTCCTTGTTTGAACCATTATTCGTATGAAAGGAGCTCGCTACTTGAACTTAAACTGAAGGAGAAACGTAATGTTTTTTGTTTACTGTCTATGACTGTTCGACTCTTTGGACAACTGGGATTTGATTCTGTCCGTTACTAAATTAACGATTGACAGCACGATCTGTAATATCTGCATGGTGTCTTTATTCAGTACTTGCGTTGTATGTTTACAGAACTTAAAGACTTAATGGTTGACATACACAAAGTGCTTTAACAAGATATCCTATGTGGGAACTGGTAGCCAGTTGTTCAAATGAAGTTTGGATTTCAGTCAGAATACATCAGACAAGTGTGATTACAAACAACTAGATCATGTACATGCATTTACCTGTAACCCATGGTATTCTGGCCTTTCTTCAGGTTGTTAAACTTGCTGCATCAAGCTGTTACCCTCCTTGTGACGTGAAGACGTTTGCCAACAAGCGAGTCACCGAGGGCCTCGTCTGGTCAGAAGAAGGGGTGGACACCCGACTGTCCTGTGTAACCAAATGCATGCAGGATGGTCAGTGTATGGCGGCAGGGTACTCCCCGGACACTGGTCAGTGTCGCGGCCACAACGTGGACGTCACGTCTTCGGACAACGTTACAGCTGTCGACGAGCCAGGTTCCAACATGTACTTCATGTGCAGAGGTGAGAATGTAATTAGATTGCGTCTTACAATTCATACGAGTTCTGCACATTTAGCTTAAGATTCGGTTTCAGATGTATTGAGACAGAAATTATAACTAAGAAACTACATGCTTCTTTCACAGCACTGGAATTCGTTGGCAAGACATGTAACAGATCCAGCGACTGTTTGGGTGCCAGGTCTGTCTGTGAGTCTGGACAGTGTCTGTGTGAGATCGGCTACAGTCACTCCAGACACAAGGGGTACGATACATGTGACACAGGTACGATAATTCGTCATATACATATGAAAATGCCACTTTGTTTTTTACATGAACATGTTTTCTTCAAATTCCATTATTAGTCGGTGTTCATATGATGCTATTTTTTCAGCTTGCACGGAATACGGAACGACCTTCACCCCATACAGTGGACATGCGATACTTCGTTCGAATACAAAAACTGTTGTCGGTATTTCCGTGGCTTCCTGCAAACATCTCTGTCTCAATGAGACCACATTTCTGTGCAGAAGTTTAGAGTACGATCATGCCATCCAGAAATGCAACACGATGTCATTTTCTTGGCTCGACAAGAGCACTGATGTCCACCGTGTCCTTGCAGGTTGGACTTTCTTCACCCGGAACTGTAACCTATGAACTTAAGCCATCGGTGGATCCATTATTGTTCCCAGATCGTGTGTTGCCAAACTGAAAGGAATACAATGATATTCTGTCTCTTTCGAAGTTCAGTAATGACTATACTCATCTTACGACCATGAAACTGCATACGAAGTTCAACTTTCTAAGCCTTGGGGTTCTTGAAAATAAAATGTTCGAGCTTTTGGCAACATTTTTCGATTTTTTATTTTAATAATGGCCATTGACATGTTTAAAATCGAATCTATGTTTCATCAATGGTTGTAACAAGAATCAGGTTCGCTGAATTGGTTGCTACATGTCATCATATCCTAAATGCGTATGTAGATCAATTCTATTGATGTCAGTCACTGGATGGTCTCATCCAAACCTGATTATTTGCAGATCGTAGTCTTGTAGCTGGGATATTGCTGAGTGTGGGGTTAAACAACAAACAAACAGTTGCATTTGTACTAACTATAAAATGGCTTTATCGCGCGTATCCAAACCACAGGCTAATTACTGCTGTAACTCAATCACCACTGTAATTAAAACACCCCCGGGGCTCTAGTTCCCCTGCTGGTGGGTCACAAGCGCCATTCCTCATTTGTTCCATTGTATATAGTCGGCCTTTCGCGCACCAGCTCTCTTCAAGTAAACATGTGTTTTGCCGTTTCTAATCGTCTTGGCTTTCGTTTTTCCGTTTTACACTTCAAATAGCAATCAGAGAACAATTTTTGGGGATTCCCTATCCTTCCACACACGACAAACAACCTGTGAGGGAAAAACATTGGCATAGCGAATTCGTGGATCTAAGCGCACTACTACCAACATCGAGGAAAGCCATCACAAGGACGCTGCGGTAACCATGGTGTATGATTCTTCAGGTAAGATCATTTAAAACCCATTGAGCAGCAGCCAAGCACCAGTCCCTGGCAAGCAGGACTTCAGCTTTTCACATTTTCATTTCACAACGTTAGCAGGCATTCCAAAGTCCAAACAATGCAGGGTTTCCATCCTACATGGAAACATTTAGAATGGCAGCCCTCAGATTCGGCGGTGATGCCTGGTCGACTAAGACTAACAACATCCGACACAGAATGTCAAGGGACCCCTCACGCTGCTGGGACAACATTGACGGTAAGCGGTAGCACAGCCGGTACAACAACCACTGTTAACCAGACGGAAGGCAATGACACAGGGGGACATCGCCAGGAAGGTATGCTGCGACTTTGGTAAATTTGGTTGTAACAAGTACCCTCACAATTTCGAGTTGAGTTGATTGGTTCAACTGTGTCATATGGCCCTGTGGCGCAGGGGTAGCATTATACAGATGGCTGTTACAATGAATGCTCGTTCCACCCGTGATGAACAGGTCTGGTTGTTGATGAAATATAGTGATAGCTAAATAGACAGATTTTTTATTCATGCACCGATTGTCTTTAAATGTAATATCCAGTTATGTATGACTGTTTAATAATCTCATACCAACTTTGACTGGAGTAGGTCCAACAGTTTTTCAGATATTGTAGTAAACGTCGGTACCTTAAATTACCTTCCAGACTATAATCGGCTATGGCCCGTAGTCGCCTCCATGCACAATCTTGAGTGCACCCCTCTGGCCCACAACTTGCATTCATTCATTTCGATCATTAAGACAATACTAGGTACCAACTCCAGTCGCTCCTTAAAAAGGCAACATAAATACTGCTTGCTATTCTTCTCACTCATTCTCACATTGGGGTGGCCACATCATCAGCCATGAACAGGGTTCCTGAACATCTCAGGCAGCAATGTGGCAGTTGAAGTCAGATTGTACCAATTACTACATTCGGTTAACAACAAATTTTATGCCACACAACTAATTTCAATATTCTATACATGGTATTTACTATACTTAACGTTTACAGTTTGGATGGTAGGCTCCAGCCACATGGCCAGGGCAAGGCAGTACCAGTCCGCACCAACCGAGAATGCCATGGCTGGCACAAGGTGGTTGGTTGGTTGGTTGGTTTGTTGTTTAACGCCGCACTCAGCAGTATTACAGCTATATGACGACGGTCTGTAAATAATCGAGTCTGGACCAGACAATCCAGTGATTAACATCATGAGCATCGATCCACGTAATTGGGATCGATGACATGCATCAACCAAGTCAGCGAGCCTGACCACCCGATCCCGTTAGTCGCCTTTTACGACAAGCATAGTCGCCTTTTACGGCAAGCATGGGTTGCTGAAGACCTATCCTATCACGGAATCTTCACGGGTCGGCACAAGGTGGAATGAGGTGGACGCAGCTAGACACCCTCTTAGATGAACAGGTCAAGGCTACACGGCACAGCCCCAGAGCTCTCATCCTTCACCTTGGTTTCAATGACCTGTGCATGGTCAACGGCAGCCAACTCTGACATGGAGGTCTCAATCCTGAGGATTCGACACCAGGACCATCATATCTGCAATGCTGCCCAGGCACTACTGGCACGATGCCAGAGATCCAATCAAGATCGAGGGGATGCAGAAGAACATTAACCATAGGCTTGCCAGCTGTGTGAAAGAGCTTGGCGGGACATCAGTGAAAAAAGACTGTGTGTGTTTACGGACAATTTGTTGCGTGCCCTGACACATGTTTTACACTAATGGGAGGATGGTATTTCTTTCACCTATCTAGGCAAGCTGGGTAGCTCTGCTATCTCTGCGTAGTGTGTGGTCGTGGATGTGGGGTAGAACTTTTGAGCTCTGTGACGTGGTTGTTATGGGTTACACTGCGAGTAACCAATTAACTTGCTTCAAAATTAGTACTCGCATTTAAAACTACCTGCTTTGCCCCGGAAACCTTTCCAGGGTTACCTGCTGTTCCATGGAAACTTTGTCTTTCCCGACATTTCAGCCCAGGAATTATATAATAACTTACATTGCGCATCTAATTGCCACGTATATTGGACCGGCGGTGGTAGTCGTCCTGTCAGAGGTAGTTGACTCATGGTGGTAGCTGCCACAATGGTTTTACTAATTGGGCCAGGCAGCGGTAGTTGCTAATCTCCATTGCCAAAGGTAGCTTAGTAGCCCACGAGCACCCTCTACCATTTAATCCACTCTCATGTCATGCTGTTATTATCGGCACGGGCATCCACACTTTGGTAGGCCGTGCCTCACCTTTGGCATATCACATGATAATTACTAGTTGTTACCCTGTCTGGCGCTCGCCATTAAGGGGCTAAAACAAGGACTGGTCGGCTCGGAGTCAGTATACTCGTATTCATGTTAAACTGCGGCATGGTATCTCAGTGAGCTAGCACTATAAATCGGCATCAGTCCAGACTAGTACAAGCAGGCACACACACACACACACACACACACACACACACATACACGTGCATGCACGTCGCTATTTAAGTGCAATATTCTTGGAAGCGACGTTAAACCCCATCTCACCTCACCTCACCTCACATGATAATGGCTTTATCGCGCGTATCCAAACCATAGGCTAATTACTACGTTAACTAAATCACCCACAGTTCAGTAGGGGGTAGGGAGAGGAGGTCACAAGCGTCATCCCTTCTTTGTTCTATTGTCTATAGTCTATAGCCCAGCGGCAATAGTCCTCATGTGAGTGGTAGTTAACATTTGGCTGCCACAAATGATTTCACTAATTGGGACGGGCAGCAGTAGCTGCTTTCGCCAGCATCGGTAGCTGCTTTTGCCAGCAAGGGTAGCGTTTCTTATAATTAAATATGCTACTAGGGCCGGACACCAGTAGCTGCCCTTGGCCAGCAGTGGTAGTTGCTTATCGCCATAGTTGACATGGACGACGCTAGTTGCCATGCCGACGCTAGTTGCCATGGCAACGGTAACTTTTTTGTACTTAAGTTGCAGCTTTTAATAAACTTATTTAATAAACTCCCATTTCGTGTTGTTATTATAGGCACGGGCATCCACACTTCGATAGCCCATGCCTCACCTTTGGCATATCACACGATAATGACGGGTCATGCGATGAAGTTGCTACTTTACTCAAAAACCATTTGTAACTGAAATGCACCCGCACAGAATCGTGTTGAAATGATAAACACAGACACGGGTGGATTGTGAACTGTACCTTTATTTCAGTGGAACGACTGAAGGTCGACAGTTATTCGACACGTCATCAAGGTTAGAACACGTGAAGCACACAACAAAGAAAGAACAGACACTATATTACCAGCTACCGGTGTCCCGGTGTAAACCCGCCCTCTATAAAAATAATTGTCAATGAAAAAAAAAAAATAGGCTTGTCCTGCCCCACCTGCAGCCACCATTCACACAATTTGCGTTAAAAAATAAGTCTTCATTGCCTGACGCCCTGGATCAGTACTCGCCTCGTTTGAATTCACACATTTTAGCATCTCAATTAAATACTTGTGTTGTGGTTCCTTGAAAATAGCTATTCATTAATATTAATTATGTGTAATGCTGTTTTAAACTCAATGATGCCTCTGTATTTACGGATGCCTGTTTAAGGGGGCGGGTTTGTAACGCTATTTATTATATGAAGATTGCATACATATTGTGACACCGGCAAGAGATTCATGTTATATCAAAGGTGATTTTAATGGACACAAGTTGTTATCAGCGAAGCTCTCAGAGAGATCTCGCGTCATCATTTGTAACCAAGTGTTAGACATATATCAGATGTATTTATCATTGTGCATCTTCATCAAAGTTAAACAGTTCAATTGTTGTTTATCAAGCATTATTATTATATACTTCAGTGTGAAAGTTTTCTGAGGTTGAGAAAATTGATATTTCCATTGTAGTGAACATAACACTTTGACGGAACTATTGTCATACAAGAGTTACCTCCCCACAAATTGTCTCCCTTTATCGTAAATGTCTGGCCCGTACACAAACTGCTGACTTTCTGCTAAGTTCATCATTTACAAGGCAAAATAATGACGGATAGTCATTTGAGGAGTTACTATCTACTTGTTATTCTCTTGAAAATGTTTTGCTTTACACTGTTAGTTTCTCATTTAAACCATCGAGACTGTTTCCCCAAGCGCTATTTTCATTACCTGAACATCGTGTATTCCTTCGCTACCAACAGTGGTATCGTAGCTTTCAAGAATATTTTTTGTTGAAGCTGATTTTGTATATGATCATATCCAAATGTATGATAAAAACATTCAGTGACCTATGTTTTATTACTTTTGTTTATATTTTGTAAGATTTTCGGGACTACTTTTTAACTTGCAATTACAAGGGGTGGCGAAACGTCACTGTGTATTAGGCAGGGAGAACTTACGTTTCATGCTTTTACACTTGTAATGAAAAGATATTCCAGTAGACAACGTAAAGTATATAATAAATAGGATATTACATTTGTGTCGAGAATACCATGTTTCTCTGATCTCGTGACGTGGGATATGAGATATACTTACTCGTGCAAATATCTCCTTTTCCCCGTCACTCAATGAGAGAAACATTTTTCACTCCAAACATGAAATATCCTCTATGTATTCGGAAATAAGTTAAGATGTCTTTGTTGTATGCTTCAATCTTGTTTCTATACATAATTTGATATATTAACAAGTACAACAAACAAGGGAAAAGAGTACAAATGTGAAGAAGGAAAATCCATTATAAAACATTTTTCATCGACGTTTCTGTATCCATCAACCCAACACACAGGAATAGCACTTCAGACAACGATCTCACATGAAGATGTTTATTACAAGAGATAGATGCTTGCAGCTAGAGACGCCACCATAGTCCACATCACGACTGTCAGACCTTTAGCCCCATTTTCTGGAATGAAAAAAGTAGTAAGAGAAGCCCCCAAAAAACGGAATATTTGCACTCCAGGGCCTAGATTTTCGAAACGATCTTGATAAGATAAATCTTAACTACTTACGTTCAAAGATAAGATATCTTAAGACTATGATAAGATAGATTTTCGAAACAATCGTAAACCTGTCGCAGATCGCTCAGAGCTACGACACCTATCTGTAGCGGGAGAATAGCTCGAAGTCGTCAAGCGTATCGAGGGGACGAGTTCTGTCTCGGAATATCCTCTGTCTTGTCATCAAATCATTGTCATCTTCATCATGAAAAATGTCCAGAGCAAATTATACCGCCATCTTGGATGAGGATAAAATAAACTTACGACAGGTATAGGGCTATCTTAGATTTACGACAAACTTAAGATATCTTAGGGCTACGATAGTTTCGAAAATAGGCTACGATAGCCTACGATTTCTTTACGCTAACTTTACGATAATTTTAGGGCTAAGATCGTTTCGAAAATCTAGGCCCTGCGATATAAGCGCATTTTTGCTATATATGGCATTGATCTTACATGATTATCTTCTTTACGTTTGAAAACGAATCCTACAACAGGTCTAACACAGACACTGTCACTCGAGTGAGTGAGTGAGTGAGTGAGTTGGGTTTAACGCCGCTTTTAACAGTATTACAGTTATATCACGGCGTGTCAGCTGAATGTGGGAGGAAAGCCCGAAGTGATGCAGGTCTCAGACGTTTGCCACTTCGGTGAAACCCACGAGCACGGGTATGGTGCTGACAAACCTAGAAACATAATCGGGGCGAACAGTGATTCGAACCCACAATCATAGGTTTCTGGCATGCCCAAGGGACGCAACTCTGCACAGCGAATCGCGGGGGGATGAGAATGACTTTTATAGCACACTGATCCATAGTTGTAGAGATGTGGGCACACTGGCAGTCGTGGAATTTGGCGCTATAGAATTGTACTCATTAAATATTTTATGTGTGACTCAAACACTATTAGGACATTGTATTTGCCTTTAATGAACAGTCATAACGTACATTGCGTCAGAATATAGGTTTCTGGCGTGCCCAAGGGACGCAACTCTCCACAGCGAATCGCGGCGCCTTAGACGACTGGGCCCCAAAGTTGTAAGAGAAGCCCCAAAAACACGGAATCTTTTTTTGGGGACTCCAGCGATAGAAGCGCATTCTTACTATATATGGCATTGATCTTACAGGATTATCTTCTTTACGTTTGTAATCGAATCCTACAACACGTCTAACACAGACACAGTCACCTCTCCTCTTGTTTGGTGTTTAACGCCGCACTTAGCAGTATTCCAGCCTAATGACGGCGGTCTGTAAATAATCGAGTCTGGACCAGACAATCCAGTGATTAATATCATGAGCATCGATCCACGCAATTGAGATATGATGACATGCATCAACCAAGTCAGCGAGCCTGACCACCTGATCCCGTTAGTCGCCTTTTACGACAAGCATAGTCGCCTTTTACGGCAAGCATGGGTTGCTGAAGAACTATTCTACCCTGGATCTTCACGGGTCAGTCGAGTCTTGACTTGACCATCAATTAACTATCATATCATGCAATATCACTACATCATAGGTATCAGCTGACGGACTGAGCAGAGTGGACCTGGATAAGACACAAAAGTCAAACATGATATGGCTGAGCACGAGAGGGGTACGAGTCGCTCTTCGGCTTGTCCCGGAATAACACGAGTTAGTCACGAATAGGTCCTGTTGACAACATCGAATATAAAGGTTGCTTGGACGTAAGTTTTGTGTTAATCGTGTTTGATACTCACCGCACAGATTGCCCGTGTAGCCCTTCACGCACGTGCACCAGTACGGCACGGTGCTCGTGATGCACGTGCCTCCGTTCTGACACTGCTTTCCTCCAGTGGTGCACACGGGCTCTAGGAATATATATTGCAGTGTAAATAGACATTTGACAAAACAAAATATTGAATGGAGTAACGACGTCGAACTCTTTGACTAACAGAAGCAGGAGATTCGACGTCGAACTCTGTGACTAATAGATGCAGGAGATTCGACGTCGAAGTCTTTGACTAACTGATGCAGGAGTAACGACGTCGAACTCTTTGACTAACAGATGCAGGAGTAACAACGTCGAACTCTGTGACTAACAGATGCAGGAGATTCGACGTCGAACTCTTTGACTAACAGATGCAGCAGGAACGGCAGCAGGAACAGCAGCAGTGACACAGCAAGTTACAGCAAGTTCCCAAGAGACCTCCTCTAGGTATTTTTTACTGGCGCAACTTCCATTATTCCCGTTAGAGTATATTCATGAACAGCTCGAGATGTATTCCCGGTGTGACTTTTCTGTATTACCCCATGAATGTATTCCTGGGCCCACTTGCACAAAACAATCTCAGCGCAACGACTATTGTAAGCCTATGTTAAAGTATGGGAGTTGTGATCATCTTAGCGCTAAGATCGCTTTGTGCAAGTGGGCCCTGGTGTGTATTCTCCGTATAACCCCATGAATGTATTCCTGGTGTGTATTCTCTGTATTACTCCGTTAATGTATTCCTGGTGTGTATTCTCTGTATTGTCCCATGAATGTATTCCTGGTGTGTATTCTCTGTGTTAATTCACGATTGTATTCCTGATGTGTATTCTCTGTATTGTCCTATGAATGTAATACTGGTGTGTATTCTCTGTATTGTCCCATAAATGTATTCCTGGTGTGTATTCTCTGTGTCAATTCACAATTGTATTCCTGGTGTGTATTCTCTGCATGGTCCTATGAATGTAATACTGGTGTGTATGCTCTGTATTGTCCCATGAATGTAATCCCGGTGTGTATTCTCTGTATTACTCCGTTAATGTAATCCTGGTGTGTATTCTCTGTATTACTCCGTTAATGTATTCCTGGTGTGTATTCTCTGTATTGTCCCATGAATGTATTCCTTGTGTGTATTCTCTGTATTACTCCATGAATATATTCCTGGTGTGTATTCTCTGTGTTAATTCACGATTGTATTCCTGATGTGTATTCTCTGTATTGTCCTATGAATGTAATACTGGTGTGTATTCTCTGTATTGTCCCATGAATATATTCCTGGTGAGTATTCTCTGTGTTAATTCACGATTGTATGGCTGGTGTGTATTCTCTGTGTTAGTTTACGATTGTATTCCAGGTGTGTATTCTCTGTATTACTCCGTGAATGTATTCCTGGTTTGTATTCTCTGTGTTAATTCACGATTTTATTCCTGGTGTGTATTCTCTGTATTGTCCCATGAATGTAATCCCGGTGTGTGTTCTCTGTATTACTCCGTTAATGTAATCCTGGTGTGTATTCTCTGTATTACTCCGTTAATGTATTCCTGGTGTGTATTCTCTGTATTGTCCCATGAATGTATTCCTGGTTTGTATTCTCTGTGTTAATTCACGATTGTATTCCTGGTGTGTATTCTCTGTATTGTCCCATGAATGTAATCCCGGTGTGTATTCTCTGTATTACTCCGTTAATGTAATCCTGGTGTGTATTCTCTGTATTACTCCGTTAATGTATTCCTGGTGTGTATTCTCTGTATTGTCCCATGAATGTATTCCTGGTGTGTATTCTCTGTATTACTCCATGAATGTATTCCTGGTGTGTATTCTCTGTGTTAATTCACGATTGTATTCCTGATGTGTATTCTCTGTATTGTCCTATGAATGTAATACTGGTGTGTATTCTCTGTATTGTCCCATGAATGTATTCCTGTTGTGTATTCTCTGTGTCAATTCACAATTGTATTCCTGGTGTGTATTCTCTGCATGGTCCTATGAATGTAATACTGGTGTGTATTCTCTGTATTGTCCCATGAATGTATTCCTGGTGTGTATTCTCTGTGTCAATTCATGATTGTATTCCTGGTGTGTATTCTCTGTATTGCTCCGTGAATATATTCCTGGTGTGTATTCTCTGTGTTAATTCACGATTGTATGGCTGGTGTGTATTCTCTGTGTTAATTTACGATTGTATTCCAGGTGTGTGTTCTCTGTATTACTCCGTGAATGTATTCCTGGTTTGTATTCTCTCTGTTAATTCACGATTATATTCCTGGTGTGTATTCTCTGTATTGTCCCATGAATGTAATCCCTGTGTGTATTCTCTGTATTACTCCGTTAATGTAATCCTGGTGTGTATTCTCTGTATTACTCCGTTAATGTATTCCTGATGTGTATTCTCTGTATTGTCCCATGAATGTAATCCCGGTGTGTATTCTCTGTATTGTCCCATGAATGTAATCCTGGTGTGTATTCTCTGTATTACTCCGTTAATGTATGCCTGGTGTGTATTCTCTGTATTGTCCCATGAATGTAATCCCGGTGTGTATTCTCTGTATTACTCCGTTAATGTAATCCTGGTGTGTATTCTCTGTATTACTCCGTTAATGTATTCCTGGTGTGTATTCTCTGTATTGTCCCATGAATGTAATCCCCGTGTGTATTCTCTGTATTGTCCCATGAATGTAATCCTGGTGTGTATTCTCTGTATTGTTCCATTAATGTATTCCTGGTGTGTATTCTCTGTATTGTCTCATGAATGTATTCTTGGTGTCTTTTATCTGCATTACTCCATGAATATATTCCTGGTGTGTATTCTCTGTGTTAATTCACGATTGTATTCCAGGTGTGTATTCTCTGTATTACCCCGTGAATGTATTCCTGGTTTGTATTCTCTGTGTTAATTCACGATTATATTCCTGGTGTGTATTCTCTGTATTGTCCCATGAATGTAATCCCGGTGTGTATTCTCTGTATTGTCCCATGAATGTAATCCTGGTGTGTATTCTCTGTATTACTCCGTTAATGTATTCCTGATGTGTATTCTCTGTATTGTCCCATGAATCTATTCCCGGTGTGTATTCTCTGTACTGTCCCATGAATGTAATCCTGGTGTGTATTCTCTGTATTACTCCGTTAATGTATTCCTGGTGTGTATTCTCTGTATTGTCCCATGAATGTAATCCCGGTGTGTATTCTCTGTATTGTCCCATGAATGTAATCCCGGTGTGTATTCTCTGTATTGCTCCGTTAATGTATTCCTGGTGTGTATTCTCTGTATTGTTCCATGAATGTAATCCCGGTTTGAATTCTCTGTATTACTTCATGAATGTATTCCTGGTGTGTATTCTCCGCATTACTCCATGAATGTATTAATAAAGTGTTAATAACCTGTACCTCACCCCGCAAATAATAAGCGTACCTTTCAAACCATTCAAACATGAAAGAACATAATAATAATAATAATGGAGATTGACGTTGCTTAACTGCACCTGATTTGCGACCTGTGCGCTGTGCACAGGACCACGTGCCACTACATATTGACATATGTTTTTGTTTGTTTGTTGTTTAACGTCCCACTCAGCAATATTCCAGCTGTGTGACGGCGGTCTGTAAATAATGGCATCTGGACCAGACAATCCAGTGATTGACATCATGAACATCGATCCATACAATTGAGATACGATGACATGCATCTACCAAGTCAGCGAGCCTGACAACCCGATCCCGTTAATCGCCCCTTACGACAAGCGTGGGTTGCTGAAGACCTATCTTTACCCGGATCTTCACGGGTCTCATGGTTATGTGTACACATACATCATGGGTATGCAGCCCTTGGCGTGATGCTCACCCGTCCCACACGTGTCGCCACCATAACCACCGACACAGTTGCACACATAGTCTTTACACGACCCTCCGTTCTGGCATTCCCTTCCGTTAGGTGTGCATGCAGGGGCTGCAAGAGATGAATCTGTTAATCTTCATCTATCTTGAAGAAGCAACGACATCTATGTGAAGTATTTGTGTCATCCAGGTTAACGTCACGTACCGCAATTTCAAGAAAACTAAAGAGTGTGTTTTCGAGTAATAAATATATATTACAGATATTAAGCTTTACCATCAAGTTCTATGCCAGCCTCATCTCTGATATTGAACGTTACCATCAGGATTCTATGTAAACCATATCTCCGATATCAGCTTACCGTCAAGTTCTATGTCAGTCTTATCTCTGATACTAAGCTTTACTGTCAAGTTCTATGTTAACCATATCTCCGATATTAGCTTTTCATCACGTTCAGTATTAGCAAAAATCACCACCCACACCCACATATCTACACTCCCACCCCACGAATCCCCATCCTCCTCCCCCAAGAATATTAACTGGTCGATCCCTCAGTGGGCATCCTACATACATATCACGACATATATATATTATGATTGATATTCTGATGAAGTTCTGGATGATTGTTGATACAGCAGATGACAGCGCACCTGTTTCGCATAGACCTCCATTGTAACCACTGACGCATTCACAAAAGTAGTGAGTCGAGTTTGACGTGTCGCATGTCCCATCATTTTGGCATTCACTTCCGTCAATAGTACAAACCGGAGCTTCAACGAAACAGATCAAGTTGGTCAAGTTCTGAAACATTCTATTTCAAAAGTATTTTGAACATATTATATGTTAACGTACCCGACATTAGGGAACTTGACTCTGAAATGATATGTGAAATTAGGGCTGTACTGTTCCTGCGCAACCTTTATGACGACACACTGACATCATTAAGTTTCATACCTCAATGTCAGAATGATGAAATCTGATTGGTCTACGTGATGACAGAACACAAGATATTATTCAAAGGACAAAGACATTGCTTTTCGTATTATTGCATCGGGATATGGAGTGATTCAGATAAATAATCTTTAGGTAATTAAATATTATTGTAACACAATTCTGACTATATACACGTAACGCTACCATGTTCACACAAAGGTTCGATTTTCCAAATAGGTACAATGTGTGAAGCCCATTCCAGCCGTGCTATTGATGGAATTTTGCTTAAAGCGGCGTCAAACGACACTCACTCACTCACTCACCATGTTCACATGTGGCTCCATGGTAACCGTTCACGCATGAGCAGATGTACATGGCGCCCGTTGTATTACATGTTCCGCTGTTCTCGCATTCACTTCCGCCGGAAGTACACACGGGAGCTGGAAGAGAACTACATTGACACGTTGGGATACAAAATTTGTTTGTTTGTTTGTTTGTTGCTTAACGCCTCCCGTAGCAATATTCCAGCTGTATGACGGCGGTCTGTTAATAATCGAGTCTGGACCACACAATCGAGTGATTGACATCGTGGACATCGATCTACACAATTGGGATCGATGACATGCATCAACCAAGTCAGCGAGCCTGACCACCCGATCCCGTTAGTCGCCTTTTACGTCAAGCATAGTCGCCTTTTACGGCAAGCATGGGTTTGCTGAAGACCTATTCTACTCCGGAATCTTCACGGGTCAAGGGGCGGTCGGGTAGCCTAGTGGTTAAAGCGTTCGCTCGTCACGCCAAAGACCCGGGTTCGATTCCCGACATGGGTACAATGTGTGAAGCCCATTTCTGGTGTCCCCCGCCGTGATATTGCTGGAATATTGCTAAAAGCGGCGTAAAACCATACTCACTCACTCACTCACTCACGGGTCAAATCTTGGTCTTATTTTGCAGAATCCCATTTCCGATGGACATCATGAACATCGATCTACACAATTGGGATCGATGACAAGCATCAACCAATCCAGCGAGCCTGATCACCCGCTCCGTCAGTCGCCTCTTACGACAAGCATGGGTTGTTGAAGACCAATTCTACCCTGCGATCATCACGGGTCTTCGATGGAAGAACATTGCGCAAATGTGAAGGGTGGAGAATAGTAATAATATTCCCTTAACGTCATATATACATACCCATTTCACACGTGTGTCCGTGGTAGCCATTCACGCATGTGCAGCCGAATATAGCACTTCCTGTATCGCATTGGCCGCCGTTTTCACATTCAGTTCCGCCCACTGTGCACTTAGGAGCTAGAAAATGGGGTTAAAAGACGCGTTGCAGATTAAAACATGGATATCTCCTTCAGCACCAGGCAGGGTAACAACAAGTACCATCATTTAACGTCTTTTCGAATGACGCGGCCAAGGGATCGAACCACCGACAATCCGCTCTCTGGGCAGACGCTATATATTTATTAAACCTCGACGGTATAGCTTCTTTAAAAAAAGTAACTTTATATATATTTATGACATATTTTATTAAACAAGTAGATATTTTAAAGATAATTTCCTTTGTTTCAGGGAGGGTATAAATAAGGTCATCATGATGCGCACGTTTCAAAGCAATAAAGCTTACACGTGGATTATCTCCCTTCCATTATGACGCCTTTGATGTCAACTAGTGTGAGTGTTATAATCTGTAATTGTTGTATGGAATATTCAGGGTGTATACAATGTATCAAAACAGTTTGCATATGTTTGAGAATGTTATCACCTTCAAATTAGAGAAAGAATTTTCTTAATAGACCGTGGACGTCAACGGGAGGTTTCCGGATTATTAACATATAAAATGGGGTAAGTGCTACATAATCCAAACAGGAACTTGCCAAAGACCAACTACCTTTTGTCCACTGTGCAACAAACAGCATAGAAGAGATTATTAACTTTTAACATTAATTAACACTAAACACACTGGTTGTTCATATGTTTACAAAGGCTTTACGGATACATGATTTTTGTACATGTTATTATTATTTTCATTCATACGGTGATATTAGAGAGCCAACATGCGTGCAAGCCGCATGTTTTGGAGTTCTGTAAGGTTTGTTGAATTTCTGGAACGCCACCAGTGGCTATTACGAGTTATGTCCCTTCCATGTCCCTCCTATTGACCAATCTGATTCCATCACTCATATCACTTGCATTTGCTGCAAAGAAAATAACAGCGCAGTCTGATTGAAAATCAAGATCTATTTTGTAATATAATGGGTCTTACTTCGCAAAGTGCATTAAATCACGTGAGCGCTTTGATTGAAAAACATGAAAAGATTTGAAAAAATATCTCATCACGCCGAGTTGCACGGCAGTTTACGAACGGGATGTCGATTGCGTTACGCGATCTGATTGGACTATGCATAAACCCATAAGTCCAGTCAAAACATAACTCCGGATTTCCAGCCTAGTTCGGCAAGGGTGGAAACTGCACTTTTACAGTCAGTTAACTCCCTTGCCTCGCGAAGATGATTAAATCAGTAATTATTGATCAACAAGAATGGTGCATTCCTCAGACTTTGGGCTGGTGCCTATATTACATGCGCCAAAATAATGAGGTATGTATAAATTGGAACTACAAAGGAACGGAATTTATAAACCCAGATTTCCCATTGTTTTACGTTTAGAATTGTTTGTAGCCCAAAGAAATTGAAATAGCAAACAAAACTGGGAATCTGGGGTGCATCCTCATCCACAAGCTCCATCTTCGCCGCGGCCCGTGAAGATCCGGGGTAGAATAGGTCTTCAGCAACCCATGCTTGCTGTAAAAGGCGACTAGCTTGTCGTAAGAGGCGACTAACGGGATCGGGTGGTCAGGCTCGCTGGATTGGTTAATGCATGTCATCGATCCCAATTTCGCAGATCGATGCTCATGATATCAATCACTGGATTGCCTGGTCCAGACTCGATTATTCACAGACCGCCGTCATATAGCTGGAATATTGCTGAGTGCGGCGTTCAACAACCAACCAACCATCCATCTTTGCCGCTGCCTTCAATTGTGGATTGTGTTTGGTTAATCGTTCATATGGTTTATGATTAATTTAGTGTTTATTTTATCAATTAAAAGTGTGGGCGTTTAATTCATTTAGTTTATCATTTAATATGTAACATTAGAATAATATTCACTTAATCCATTGTTAGTTGGGGATATATCAACAGCCATGTGAACATTAAGGGGAAGTGAGTGAACATGTGTCCATATTAACTTTATTTAACAGATAAGGTAAAAGTTTGAAAAGAGGTGAGGTGAAATTGGGTTTAACATCGCGTCCAAGATTATTGCACTTATATAGCGACGTGCATGCACGTGTGTGTGTGTGTGTGGCTGCTTGTACTAGAACGGACTGATGCCGATTTATAGTGCTAGCCCACTGAGATACCATGCCGCAGTTTAACATGAATACCCCACCCAGACACATTATACTGACTCCGAGCCGACCAGTCCTTGCTTTAACCCCTTAATGCCGAGCGCCAGACAGTGTAACAACAAGTACCATCTTTTAACGTCTTTTGGTATGACGCGGCCGAGGATCAAACCCCGGACCTTCCGCTCTCCGGGCGGACATACTTCCACTAGACCACGGAGGCGGTAGTTTGAAAAGTGGTCAATCCTGGTCTCATACCGATCTCACAGTGCTGCCCATGGTAACCGTTGACGCATGCGCAGCTAGAGGGAGAATGTGTTGTGTTACATGACCCTCCGTTTTGGCACTCATTTCCATCAGTAGTGCACACCGGTGCTACAACAAAAAAAACCATGACATTCAAATACAGTAAACTGATTTATTACGAACACGCTCATAACGAACGAACAGATATAACGAATTGTTTTGGGGTCCCGCCAACATATATGCTGTATGTACAGTAAACTACGGTTATAACGAACTCAAAGGAACCACTGATTTTAGTTCCTTATAACCGTTGTCCGTTATCTGCATTTATACAACATATAAACAGCAAATGGATGGGACCCCAAAACAGTTCGTTATATCCGTCAGGTCGTTATAAGCGTGTTCGTTTAAAGTGGTTTACTATATGCATATAACGGACTACGGTTATAACGAACATAAATTAGTGGTTCCTTTGGGGAAGCCTTGTGGTTAAAGCGTTCGCTCGTCACGCTGAAGACCTGGGTTCGATTCCCGACATGGGTACAATATCTGAAGCCCATCCCGGTGTCACCCGCCGCGACATTGCTGAAATATTGCTAAAAGCGGCGTAAAACCATACTCACTCATTCAGGGCAAGGACATGAATGCACGTGAATTTCTTGGTAGACATTTAGAAGATCCAGGAACATGAAGCCATGCTTGTTTTTATGAATAAAACATTCTTTAATGTAACAATTGTTATATTTGGAATAACACTTCCTAAGTAAAGTACAAATTCTAGAACTTTTGGGGGTTGAGTCCCATCCGTGATTCGAACCCACATTCTCAGAGTGAGGCACCAAATCGCCAGCACGCAAAGTAAGTGATCTAACCCACTCATAAGACAAGAACCGTTTAATGGATAACAACATTTATACATTGAACTACGTTTATAACGAACACGCTTATAACGAACTTCCTGATATGACGAACTGTTTCTTGGACCCGGACATTTTGTGTGTGTGTGTATATATATATATATGTGTGTGTGTGTGTGTGTGTGTGTGTGTGTGTGTGTTAGTGTGTGTGTGTGTGTGTGTGTGTGTGTGTGTGTGTGTGTGTGTGTGTGTGTGTGTGTGTGTGTGTGTGTGTGTGTGTGTGTGTGTGTGTGTGTGTGTGTGTGTGTGTGTGTGTGTGGACGTTGTTATTCATTGAAAGTATCATGTTTTCTTGAATGATCCCGTGTACAATATAAACTTTGTGTAGCACATGAGACAAAAGTTTGAAAGAAATCCTGGTGCCATACCCATCTCACACTGCTTCCCATGGTACCCGTTGATGCATGAGCAGTTGAATGGAGTCTCGCTTGTGACACAGGACCCTCCGTGTTTGCATTCATTTCCATCGACAGTGCACATTGGTGCTACAACGTCAAAACCATGATAGTTCAACAGTAACATGGGTTGGTTGGTTGGTTGTTTAACGCCGCACTCAGCAATATTCCAGCTATATATGACAGCGGTCTGTAAATAATCGATTCTGGACCAGACAATCAAGTAATTAATATCATGAACATCGATCCTCGCAAATGGGATCAACCAAGTCAGCGAGCCTGACCACCCGATCCCGTTAGTCGCCTTTTATGACAAGTATAGTCGCCTTTTACGGCAAGCATGGGTTGCTGAAGATCTATTCTACGCCGGATCTTCACGGATCCGCACAGATTACAGTAACATGGGACTTCTATGCGAAGCCTAGGGGTTTCTGAAAAGTTCTTAGCCGAAGTATGACGGATTGCATAAATGGAGTTGATTGCTTATAATTTTTCATAATCATCCCCTCAAAGGTATACACATTTCTGCCAACGATGTTGGAGTGTCTGGGTCCCACAGATGTAGAAGGCTTCCTCCTGGAGGTGTAAACATACCTCCACAGCAGAAATGACGTCAACATATTTTGCATAATGCTTGCCAGCCAGACAGCTCTTTTGTCACGTTCGGGGAAGAATTGGACATCTTCTGGTGCTAAGTATGGTGAATACGTGACAGTAATGCATAAACCTTTAGAGAGTTTTCCACTTCTCAGACGGTAGGTGTCTCCTCTGCATGGACTGCTGTCTAGTCACTGACTGATAGTGATGAACCCAAGGCCCATCCATGAGTACAAATCGCTTAACAAGATCAGCTGGGTCTGCTTCAGAACGACGTTAATTCCCGCGAGATATCCGGAACCTGGAACGTTTCTGAGTCAAAAGCCTTGACAGACAGAACCCAACGTGCTAAAGCCTTTGTCACCCCCAGTTCATTCCTCATGATGCTCTCAACTCTCTAATGAATATAAGTCAATACACATCTTGCTACACTACACCGATATAACTCAATATACATCATGCTAAACTACACCAGTATAACTCCACATCCATTATGCTAAACTACACCAATATAACTCAGTATACATCTTGCTAAACTACACAAGTATAACTCCACATCCATTATGGTAAACTACACCAATATAACTCAATATACTTCATACTAATCTACGCCAGTATAACTCCATACATATCTTGCTAAACTACACCAATATAACTCAATATACATCATGCTAAACTACACCAGTATAACTCCACATCCATTATGCTAAACTACACCAATATAACTCAATATACAACATGCTGAATTACACCAGTATAACTCCACATCCATTATGCTAAACTACACCAATATAACTCAATATACATCATGCTAAATAATACCAATATAACTCCACTTCCATAATATCAAACTACAACAAATTAACTCAATATACATATTGCTATACGAGACCAGTATAACTCAAAATAAGTGTACAATTATAAAGTCCGCCAAATTTACCCAGTTCGCAGTAGCCACCACCAAAGCCACGGGCGCATTCGCAAAACGTGGGCTCGCTGTCTGCCTTGCATGACCCTCCGTTCTGGCAATCGGTTCCATTGATAGCGCATGTCGGGGCTACAACAACACATGTTGGTCAATCTCATTAATATCAGATCCTAGTTCTCGCTATCGCTAAACAAAGATCTGAGGACATCCCATTACGGGTCACGTCAGAACGACCTTTCATCCGACCAATCAGAGCGTCGATTACCAGATCATGAAAGTGACAGTCGGAATGTGTTTTCTAATCATGCAACCTCGAAAACGTCAACACGGGGTATTCCTTACGACTGATTCCATCAAAATTATCGTCTATCTCTCAGTGGGATAAACATTTGATGGGGGAGGTGTTGAACAGTATGTGGGAAGCATTGCTATACAATCTCAACCATATATTAGACTTTCCGGAATGTTCGTTTGTTCAGTTTTACAAAATTTTAATCGAGAACTGTCAACATTTTTTTCAAGCGTAGTCTGAAATGGAAGTCGCCAGGTTGAAACGAGTGCCGTAAAGCTCGAGAAAGCTGCTTTCTAATTGGCTGGTGTCGACTCCTTGTTGGTCATTTCAGTGGTCGGTCAAAGTTAGCGAAAGGTCGTTCTGACATGAACCGTAATGGGATGTCCTCAGATCTTTGTTTAGATGCAGCGAGAACTCAGATCTGATTTTTATGAGATTGCATGTTGGTTCAAGTAATACCTGCTTTGGAATTAAATAGCTTTATGGGATCAAGTCTGTGAAGGGCATTTAGAAGTGATACACATAAGGAAGAGGATTTATGGATGTCAACTTCTTTATTATGAGGAACACAACGTTTCGTTTCACCTGATGAAGGAGTAAGGATATACTCGGAAACGTTGTGTTCCTCATAATATAGAAGTTCACATCCATAAATTCTCTTCCTTCATAGGATCAGTTGAGTTTAAAAGAAACAAACGCCATTGCCATACACATCCCCATGGTAACCATGATATTAATGGTGGTCAGTTTAACTTAAAGCTGGTGTTGTCATTCGCATCTGCTTTAGGGTGTTGTTTAAAAGACTTGATTCAAACTCTTTATGACTGCACTTCACCCATGTCAATATAACCAGCTATGCTTTTGTCCATTCAAAATTAGAACAGAACACAAAATATGTAATCATTTACATAATTACTAGCTCAAAATATCTCGAGTTTATAATTCTGTGTGAAAGTTTCTGAGTTGATACGCAGTAGCTTCAGGTCCAAAATCCCGTATCATTGTGTAAATTGCTTGTGCAGGTACGTACCTGTTTCGCACTTAGTTCCACTGAAACCACTCATGCATGAACATTGGTGGGGTGCTTTTGTAACGTCACAAGACCCTCCGTTCTTGCAGTCGTTTGGCTCGGGGGTACACTTGGGAACTAGATTAACATACATAGAAGTCTGTAGAAAAGACATATTAAGATCATTTACTTCACCATGTTCTTAAAGGGGGGTTGTGATCCTTGGCTCGTTGACCATCTCAAACCCAGGTCTAGACATTGTTTGTTTGTTTGTTGTTTAACGCCGCCCTCATAACTATTCCAGCCACATGACGGTGGTCTGTAAATCAACGACTCTAGACCAGACAATCCAGTCATTTACATCATGAGCATCGATCTATGCAAATGGGATACGATGACATGCATCAACCAAGTCAGCGAGTCTGACCACCCGATCCCGTTAGTCGCCTTTCACGACAAGCATAGTCGCCTCTTAAAGCAAGAATGGGTTCCTTAAGACCTATTCTAGCCCGGATCTTCACGGGTCTCTAGACATTGTAATAAGTGTCCTGAGACATTGTCTTTGTTTTGTTGGGGTAATCGATCACTGCTTTATTTTAATACATGTTACAATTTGAATTAGCAGACAAAGAAAGAGATGTGTGGGGGTTGTCCATAGACTTGTCTTAACCCTTAAAATGCTCATTGCCAGGCAAGGTCTAGACCTTGTAAGCAGTGCCCTCTGTGAGACATTGTCTCTGTTGACATTAGCATATATAAGTAAAAATAATTTGGCATAGAAACAAAATAAGTTATGACTGACTGACTGTTTCATTGGCATTCTCGACAGAATCTTCAGAATCTCCGAACTCACTAGGGCTCCTTTTAAACTTAATTGGATTGTTTTGTTTCTTTCGAAATAAATTTTTCTAGACACTAGGTGAGGAGAAATGGGGGTTTAACTTCGTTTCCAAGGTTTTAGTACTTACATAGTGATGTGCATGTGTGTGTGTGTGTGTGTGTGTGTGTGTGTGTGTGTGTGTGTGTGTGTGTGCTGCCGATTTTATAGCGCTAGCCCCCATGCCACAGTTTGATATGAATACTCCGCTCAAACATAATAACCTCACTTCGAGCCGACCATTCCTTGCTTAACCCCTTAATGCTAGGCAAGATAACAACAAGTATTAGTCTTAAAGTATTTTGGTACCGGGGATCGAACCCCGTACTTTCCACTTCTCGGGCCGACGTTCTACCACTAGACCCTAGACCACGGAGGCGACCTTTCCAGCCACTTAGCGTTATACAACATCATATTAGTCAGTAAACTGAAGCCTTGCTAATGTGTTGGTCCTAGTTCAACATTACGTCTTTGATTGGCACAGTAGAAGTTAGGTAGGGAATAACAACGCATGACAACATATTTACATGTGCTGGTATCTATCCCGAAGGGGGCACGGGCGGCCCAGTAGTCTAAGGCGCCGTGATTCGCTGTGCAGAGTTGCGTCCCTTGGGCACGCCAGAAACCTATGATTGGGGGTTCGGATCCAGGTTCGCCCCGATTATGTTTCTAGGTTTGTCAGCACCATACCCGTGCTCGTGGGTTTTTCACCGAAGTGGTAAACGTCTGAGACCTGCATCACTCCGGGCTTTCCTCCCACATTAAGCTGACACGCCGTGATTTAACTGGAAAACTGTTAAAAGCGGCGTTAAACCAAACTCACTCTGTTACTATCTTTCTGTCCCGAAACGTCGCAACGTTGTAAATAAAGAAGTAGAGACTCGTGCAGTTGCTGTTGTCACAAGCAGAACATATTTACCCACACCGCAGTGTACTCCCCCGAAACCATTCACGCATATGCATTTGTAGGGAACGACGTCAGTTTTGCAAGATGCGCTGTTCTTGCATTCACCTCCATCAGCAGAGCACAGTGGCGCTGCAACAAGAGAACCATTTTAGTTACATGTGACACGTCCTTTGAGATAGCGACATGGGAGCAACGTGTGTTTATACTCAATTCAAACTGAAACCATCCTTTCGTCCCGTAGCCATGGATGGAGGGGCCTTTATTGGTACATATTTTTTTTTTTTTTTATTTTTTTTTTTTTTGGGGGGGGGGGGGGGGGGGGCACGGCCGGCCCAGTCGTCTTAGGTGCACGCCAGAAACCTATGATTGGGGGTTCGAATCCCGGTTCGTCCCGATTATGTTTAAAGGTTTGTCAGCACCATACCCGTGGGTTTCACCGGAGTGGTTAACGTCTGAGACCTGCATCACTTCGGCCTGTCCTCCACTATTAAGCTGACACGCCGTGATATGACTGGAATACTGTTAAAAGCGGCGTTAAACCCAACTCATTCACTCTTTGAAGTTTGGAAACTGCCCCGGTCTATACACACGCAAAAAGATCAATCAAATTTCAAGTATATTGCTTCCAACATATTCATCTATCTCCACCTGTATCACACGTGTCTCCTCTATATCCATCTATACACACCTGCATCACACTAGCCTCCACTGTATCCATCTATACACACCTGCATCACACTAGCCTCCACTGTATCCATCTATACACACCTGCATCACACTAACCTCCACTGTATCCATCTATACACACCTGTATCACACGTGTCTTCACTATATCCATCTATACACACCTGTATCACACGTGTCTCCACTATATCCATCTATACACACCTGCATCACACGTGTCTCCACTATATCCATCTACACACACCTGTATCACACTGTATCCACTATATCCATCTATACACACCTGCATCACACTAGCCTCCACTGTATCCATCTATACACACCTGTATCACACGTGTCTTCACTATATCCATCTGTACACACCTGTATCACACGTGTCTCCACTATATCCATCTATACACACCTGTATCACACATGTCTCCACTATATCCATCTATACACACCTGTATCACACGTGTCTCCACTATATCCATCTATACACACCTGCATCACACTAGCCTCCACTGTATCCATCTATACACACCTGCATCACACTAGCCTCCACTGTATCCATCTATACACACCTGTATCACACGTGTCTTCACTATATCCATCTATACACACCTGTATCACACGTGTCTCCACTATATCCATCTATACACACCTGTATCACACGTGTCTCCACTGTATCCATCTATACACACCTGTATCACACGTGTCTCCACTATATCCATCTATACACACCTGCATCACACTAGCCTCCACTGTATACATCTATACACACCTGTATCACACGTGTCTTCACTATATCCATCTATACACACCTGTATCACACGTGTCTCCACTATATCCATCTATACACACCAGCAACACACTAGCCTCCACTGTATCCATCTATACACACCTGTATCACACTAGCCTCCACTGTATCCATCTATACACACCTGCATCACACTAGCCTCCACTGTATCCATCTATACACACCTGTATCACACGTGTCTTCACTATATCTATCTATACACACCTGTATCACACGTGTCTCCACTATATCCATCTATACACACCTGTATCACACATGTCTCCACTATATCCATCTATACACACCTGTATCATACGTGTCACCACTATATCCATCTATCCACACCTGTATCACACGTGTCTCCACTATATCCATCTATACACACCTGTATCAAACGTGTCTCCACTATATCCATCTATACACACCTGTATCACACGTGTTTTCACTATATCCATCTATACACACCTGTATCACACTGTCTCCACTGTATCCATCTATATACACCTGTATCACACGTGTCTCCACTATATCCATCTATACACACCTGTATCACACTGTCTCCACTATATCCATCTATACACACCTGTATCACACGTGTCTCCACTATATCCATCTATACACACCTGTATCACACTGTCTTCACTATATCCATCTATACACACCTGTATCACACGTGTCTCCACTATATCCATCTCTACACACCTGTATCACACTGTCTCCACTATATCCATCTATACACACCTGTATCACACGTGTCTTCACTATATCCATCTATACACACCTTTATCACACGTGTTTTCACTATATCCATCTATACACACCTGTATCACACGTGTCTCCACTATATCCATCTATCCACACCTGTATCACACGTGTCTCCACTATATCCATCTATACACACCTGTATCACACGTGTTTTCACTATATCCATCTATACACAACTGTATCATACGTGTCTTCACTATATCCATCTATACACACCTGTATCACACGTGTTTTCACTATATCCATCAATACACACCTGTATCACACTGTCTCCACTATATCCATCTATACACACCTGTATCAAACGTGTCTCCACTATATGCATCTATACACACCTGTATCACACGTGTCTCCACTATATCCATCTATACACACCTGTATCACACGTGTCTCCACTATATCCATCTCTATACACCTGTATCACACTGTCTCCACTATATCCATCTATACACACCTGTATCACACGTGTCTTCACTATATCCATCTATACACACCTTTATCACACGTGTTTTCACTATATCCATCTATACACACCTGTATCACACGTGTCTCTACTATATCCATCTATCCACACCTGTATCATACGTGTCTCCACTATATCCATCTATACACACCTGTATCACACGTGTCTTCACTATATCCATCTATACACACCTGTATCACACGTGTTTTCACTATATCCATCTATACACACCTGTATCTCACTGTCTTCACTATATCCATCTATACACACCTGTAGCACACGTGTTTTCACTATATCCATCAATACACACCTGTATCACACTGTCTCCACTATATCCATCTATACACACCGGTATCACACGTGTCTCCACTATATCCATCTATACACACCTGTATCACACGTGTCTCCACTATATCCATCTATGCACACCTGTATCACACGTGTCTCCACTATATCAATCTCTATACACCTGTATCACACTGTATCCACTATATCCATCTATACACACCTGTATCACACGTGTCTCCACTATATCCATCTATACACACCTGTATCACACGTGTCTTCACTATATCCATCTATACACACCTGTATCACACTGTCTCCACTATATCCATCTATACACACCTGTATCACACGTGTCTTCACTATATCCATCTATACACACCTGTATCACACGTGTCTCTACTATATCCATCTATACACACCTGTATCACACGTGTCTTCACTATATCCATCTATACACACCTTTATCACACGTGTTTTCACTATATCCATCTATACACACCTGTATCACACGTGTCTCCACTATATCCATCTATCCACACCTGTATCATACGTGTTTCCACTATATCCATCTATACACACCTGTATCACACGTGTCTTCACTATATCCATCTATACACACATGTATCACACGTGTCTCCACTATATCCATCTATACACACCTGTATCACACGTGTCTCCACTATATCCATCTATACACACCTGTATCACACGTGTCTCCACTATATCCATCCATACACACCTGTATCACTCTGTCTCCACTATATCCATCTATCCACACCTGTATCACACTTGTCTTCACTATATCCATCTATCCACACCTGTATCATACGTGTCTCCACTATATCCATCTATACACACCTGTATCACACGTGTCTCCACTATATCCATCTATACACACCTGTATCACACGTGTCTTCACTATACCCATCTATACACACCTGTATCACACGTGTCTCCACTATATCCATCTATACACACCTGTATCACACGTGTCTCCACTATATCCATCTATCCACACCTGTATCATACGTGTCTCCACTATATCCATCTATACACACCTGTATCACACGTGTCTCCACTATATCCATCTATACACACCTGTATCATACGTGTCTCCACTATATCCATCTATCCACACCTGTATCATACGTGTCTTCACTATATCCATCTAGACACACCTGCATCACACGTGTCTCCACTATATCCATCTATACACACCTGTATCATACGTGTCTCCACTATATCCTTCGATACACACCTGTATCACACGTGTCTCCACTGTATCCATCGATACACACCTGTATCACACGTGTCTCCACTATATCCATCTATACACACCTGTATCACACGTGTCTTCACTATATCCATCTATACACACCTGTATCACACGTGTCTCCACTATATCCATCTATACACACCTGTATCACTCTGTCTCCACTATATCCATCTATACACACCTGTATCACACGTGTCTTCACTATATCCATCTATACACACCTGTATCACACGTGTTTTCACTATATCCATCTATACACACCTGTATCACACGTGTCTCCACTATATCCATCTATACACACCTGTATCACACGTGTCTCCACTATATCCATCTATACACACCTGTATCACACGTGTCTCTACTATATCCATCTCTACACACCTGTATCGCACGTGTCTTCACTATATCCATCTTTACATACCTGTATCACACGTGTCTCCACTATATCCATCACTACACACCTGCATCATACTTGCCTCCACTGTATCCATCTATACATACCTGTATCACACGTGTCTCCACTATATCCGTTAACGCACACGCATGGGTTTGTGTTATTAGGACAGCTGCCGCCATTGTTGCATTCAGCATCTGTAGAGCATGCGCAGTGTGCTACTTCAACCACCATGGCAACCACCAACAAAACTGCAAATAACAATATCAGAATGACCCAAAAGATTGACTGGACTATTGTAACTGTTTCTTTGTTGACAGCGTTGGAATAGCTTTACATATTCATCGACATAAGTTTCAACAATACATCCTGACTCGAACAATTGCTATTCTGCCGTAGGGATGAGGGTGTGGCGTCTTGCCTCAGGTTATCGAACAAAATGTCAGTTGTCTGGATATGCTGAGACGTGGTTGAGAAATGGGGTTTAACGTCGCGTCCAAGATTCTTGCATTAATATTGCAATGTGCATGCATGTGTGTGGTTATTTATACTAGTCCGGACTGATGCCGATTTATTGTGCTAACCCATTGAGATACAATGCCCCACTTTAACATAGAAACACCACTCAAACACAATTAACTGACTTCGAGCCGACCAGTCCTTGTTTTAGCCCCTTCATGCCGAGCGCCAGACAGGGTAACAACAAGTACCATCTTTTAACGTATTTTGGTATGACGCAGCCGGGGATCGAACGCCGGACCTTCCGCTCTCCAGACGGACGCTTTACCTCTAGACTACTAAGGCGGTCCCAGTGACAGAGGACTTACTGCCACACACATAATCTATACTACCAGACCAACACCCTCCCGAGAATATTGGTCAATTCCAAACCGTTTTGCTAAAATGTTGCTGCATCACATCACAGTTTCAACATTCAAAGCATCAGCACAGTTTTCCAAAGGTTTTATGGTAGACACGTGGGGGACATGTCCCTATTCGCCGCATCAGTGACAAAATATATTTCCGATGCAATTCCCCATATTAACTTGTACCATATAGTTTTTTTTAGAAGAATTGACTTGTCTTTGCATGTGTTTGTGACCGATGCGCTCACCTTTTCGCGAACACCTGGTATCATTACTATTTAAAAGTGATTCCTGGACACATGATAACGTTATAGTCAGGATCGTACAATGCAGATTGTTTTCGATTATTGCAATGGTGTGTATTTGTATACAGAATACAATACTCTGTCGAACAAGTAATTGCACATAAAACTGTAGCATGGGTACACACCATAAGGTAGGAGGGGACATAGGTGCCCTCGCGTCTAAGGCGCTGCAGTTCCCTATGATATATGTCTTTGTTTGTCTGCAAGGTTGTCGTTGGTTTGGCAAAAGTTCCAGTAACATAAAAAGAGCGAATCGGTCAAAACATTTACTGTAATGGAAGTTTTGTTTGTTTGTTTGTTTGTTTGTTGTTTAACACTGCACTCAGCACTGTTCCAGCTATATGACGGCGGTCTGTAAATATCCAGTCATTGACTTCATGAGCATCGATCCACGCAATTGGGATAAGAAGACATCAATCAAGTCAGCGAGCCTGACCACCAGATCCTTTAGTCGCCTCTTACGACAAGCATAGTCGCCATTGACGGTAAGGATGGGTTGCTGAAGACCTATCCTACCCCGGATCTTCACGGGTCACTGCCGTGGAAGTGATCACATCACATGTAAAGAACAGTGTAAAGGTGTAAGGTAAAGGCGTCATCGGTTCAGAGTCAAGTTCACAGTCAGAGGCGAGTGTGTCCAACTCGTGCATTGATGCAGCCTGACACCTTCGCCTTATCAAGACCACTAAACGTTGACGAAAATCGTTGGGGATGGTATTCTATATCTGCGGAAGGATAAACCTGAGTTCCAGCAACGTTGTTTTGAGATTTGGACGATGCCAGCATCGATCCATTGCATCCCGGGCATGATTGATGAGGTGTCAAGAGGGCGTGTTTTGGGGGCTTTTTAAAATCAACAGAGGCCACATACAACTTACGTTTCCTGTACGATACATATTTCTCAATGACTGCATACAAAGTAAATATGTGGTCAAAAGACTTGGTTTCTGTTACCTATGAGCTTTGAGACTTGCTGTCTGTTACCTATGAGCTGTGAGACTTGCTGTCTGTTACCTATGAGCTTTGAGACTTGCTGTCTGTCAACTATGAGCAGGGAGACTTGCTGTCTGTCAACTATGAGCTGTGAGACTTGCTGTCTGTTACCTATGAGCTGTGAGACTTGCTGTCTGTCACCTATGAGCAGGGAGACTTGCTGTCTGTTACCTATGAGCTGTGAGACTTGCTGTCTGTCACTTATGAGCAGGGAGACTTGCTGTCTGTCAACTATGAGCAGGGAGACTTGCTGTCTGTTACCTATGAGCTGTGAGACTTGCTGTCTGTCACCTATGAGCTGTGAGACTTGCTGTCTGTCACCTATGAGCAGGGAGACTTGCTGTCTGTCACCTATGAGCAGGGAGACTTGCTGTCTGTCACCTATGAGCAGGGAGACTTGCTGTCTGTCACCTATGAGCAGGGAGACTTGCTGTCTGTCACCTATGATCTGTGAGACTTGCTGTCTGTCATCTATGAGCTGTGAGACTTGCTGTCTGTTACCTATGAGCTGTGAGACTTGCTGTCTGTCATCTATGAGCTGTGAGACTTGCTGTCGGTCACCTATGAGCTGTGAGACTTACTGTCTGTCACCTATGAGCTGTGAGACTTGCTGTCTGTCACCTATGAGCTGTGAGACTTGCTGTCTGTCACCTATAAGCAGGGAGACTTGCTGTCTGTTACCTATGAGCTGTGAGACTTACTGTCTGTCACCTATGAACTGTGAGACTTGCTGTCTGTCACCTATGAGCTGTGAGACTTGCTGTCTGTCACCTATGAGCTGTGAGACTTGCTGTCGGTCACCTATGAGCTGTGAGACTTACTGTCTGTTAGCTATGAGCTGTGAGACTTACTGTCTGTCACCTATGAACTGTGAGACTTGCTGTCTGTCAACTATGAGCTGTAAGACTTGCTGTCTGTCACCTATGAGCTGTGAGACTTGCTGTCTGTTAGCTATGAACTGTGAGACTTGCTGTCTGTCACCTATGAGCTGTAAGACTTGCTGTCTGTCACCTATGAGCAGGGAGACTTGCTCTCTGTCACCTATGAGCTGTGAGAGTTACTGTCTGTCACCTATGAACTGTGAGACTTGCTGTCTGTCAACTATGAGCTGTAAGACTTGCTGTCTGTCACCTATGAGCTGTGAAACTTGCTGTCTGTTAGCTATGAGCTGTGAGACTTGCTGTCTGTTACCTATGAGCTGTGAGACTTGCTGTCTGTTACCTATGAGCAGGGAGACTTGCTCTCTGTCACCTATGAGCAGGGAGACTTGCTGTCTGTCACCTATGAGCTGTGAAACTTGCTGTCTGTTAGCTATGAGCTGTGAGACTTGCTGTCTGTCACCTATGAGCTGTGAGACTTGCTGTCTGTCATCTATGAGCTGTGAGACTTGCTGTCTGTCACCTATGAGCTGTGAGACTTCCTGTCTGTCACCTATGAGCTTTAAGACTTGCTGTCTGTTACCTATGATCTGTGAGACTTGCTGTCGGTCACCTATGAGCTGTGAGACTTGCTGTCTGTTACCTATGAGCTGTGAGACTTGCTGTCTGTCACCTATGAGCTGTGAGACTTGCTGTCGGTCACCTATGAGCTGTGAGACTTGCTGTCTGTAACCTATGAGCTGTGAGACTTGCTGTCGGTCACCTATGAGCTGTGAGACTTGCTGTCTGTTACCTATGAGCTGTGAGACTTGCTGTCTGTTACCTATGAGCTGTGAGACTTGCTGTCGGTCACCTATGAGCTGTGAGACTTGCTGTCTGTAACCTATGAGCTGTGAGGCTTGCTGTCTGTAACCTATGAGCTGTGAGACTTGCTGTCTGTTACCTATGAGCTGTGAGACTTGCTGTCTGTCACCTATGAGCTGTGAGACTTGCTGTCTGTAACCTATGAGCTGTGAGACTTACTGTCTGTTACCTATGAGCTGTGAGACTTACTGTCTGTTACCTATGATCTGTGAGACTTGCTGTCTGTTAGCTATGAGCTGTGAGACTTGCTGTCTGTCACCTATGAGCTGTGAGACTTACTGTCTGTTACCTATGAGCTGTGAGACTTGCTGTCTGTTACCTATGAGCTGTGAGACTTACTGTCTGTTACCTATGAGCTGTGAGACTTGCTGTCTGTCACCTATGAGCTGTGAGACTTGCTGTCTGTCACCTATGAGCAGGGAGACTTACTGTCTGTTAGCTATGAGCTGTGAGACTTACTGTCTGTAACCTATGAGCAGGGAGACTTACTGTCTGTCACCTATGAGCAGGGAGACTTGCTGTCTGTAACCTATGAGCTGTGAGACTTGCTGTCTGTCACCTATGATCTGTGAAACTTGTTGTCTGTTACCTATGAGCTGTGAGACTTACTGTCTGTCACCTATGAGCTGTGAGACTTGCTGTCTGTCACCTATGAGCAGGGAGACTTGCTGTCGGTCACCTATGAGCAGGGAGACTTGCTGTCTGTCACCTATGAGCTGTGAGACTTGCTGTCTGTAACCTATGAGCAGGGAGACTCACTGTCTGTCACCTATGAGCTGTGAGACTTGCTGTCTGTCACCTATGAGCAGGGAGACTTACTGTCTGTTACCTATGAGCTGTGAGACTTACTGTCTGTTACCTATGAGCTGTGAGACTTGCTGTCTGTTACCTATGAGCTGTGAGACTTACTGTCTGTTAGCTATGATCTGTGAAACTTGCTGTCTGTCACCTATGAGCTGTGAGACTTGCTGTCTGTCACCTATGAGCTGTGAGACTTGCTGTCTGTTACCTATGATCTGTGAAACTTGTTGTCTGTCACCTATGATCTGTGAAACTTGTTGTCTGTTACCTATGAGCTGTGAGACTTACTGTCTGTCACCTATGACCTGTGAGACTTGCTGTCTGTTACCTATGAGCAGGGAGACTTACTGTCTGTTAGCTATGATCTGTGAAACTTGCTGTCTGTCACCTATGAGCTGTGAGACTTGCTGTCTGTCACCTATGAGCTGTGAGACTTGCTGTCTGTAACCTATGAGCTGTGAGACTTGCTGTCTGTCACCTATGATGTGTGAAACTTGTTGTCTGTTAGCTATGAGCTGTGAGACTTACTGTCTGTCACCTATGA